CTGTGTTCGTCCAGCCCTGCACCTTGTTGTCTCGGATTCTCCAGCATCTGCAGTTCCTACTATCTCTGACATAATTTGGTTTGTATTCTCCCTATTTACATTTGAACATCCCCCTACCCCCACTGCTCTGATGTAGATTTTCCCACAAGAAGCTTTTCCCTATTTACTTGAATGAGATCCTCCCTTATTTTAATAAAATCTGTCTTTTGCCAAGTCAGAACCCTTTCCTGCAAACTGTGATTCTCTTCATTCCATAACAAACATAAATCATACGGTGATAACACAGTAGGTCAAGCAGCATCAGAGAAACAGGAAAGCTGACTGTCAGGTTTTCTGAAGAAGGGTTCCGACCCAAAACGTAAGCTTTCCTGCTCTGCTAATGCTGCCTGGCCTGCTGTGTTCCTCCAGCTCCACACTTTGTTATCTCTGACTCCAACATCTGCAGTTCTTGTTATCTTGTAAAGCATACAGTGTTGTGGATGCAATAATAAAATGCCCCCATACCCATACTTGAACACCATCCAACTTCATTCCCCAGAATTAGGTCCAGCACTGTGCCATCCTTGTTGATCCTTGTACAAGTTGACATAAAAAGCTCTCCTGAAAGGATTTCAAGAAATCCACGCTTTCTGAACCCTCTACAATATGATTATCCTGATTAATTTCAGAAAATTGAAGCCCTCTAATATAATTGCCTATCATTACACATTAGGCACTACACACTACCTATGGGTGTTCAAAACAACCCATGGGATACATGTAACATCAGACAACTTGGCTCATTGAAGTTTATAATCTCGGTTTTATTTGTGTGTCTAGTCTTTCTTTATTTTATCCTGTTTGACACTTATGGCCCTGTTGACTTTCAAAGTACTGATCTTAAAGCTATTGCCTTGTTGATGCATAAATCTTAAATCCGAGCATATCATCTGATAATAGCGCAATTTGATATATAAAAATATGAAGGAAAATTTAGATTTATAAGTAGAATGTGATGTGACAAGACATGTACTCCGATTCAGAGCCTATGAAGACAAACAACCTGGACACTTCTCTATTAGGCATCGTCTTGAAATTTCTCTGGTTGCAGTTGCAATGGCAGTTGTCACTTTCAGGTCCAGCAATGAGCCAGGTTAGCCGGCAAATCATTACCAGTGTCTGGCCTGTCACAGATGATGAACAGATCCAAACTTTTATGCCTATGTGTGTCATATTGGAGTCAAATCCACCCCCTAAAAATGCCTTCAAACTTTCCTGCCAAAGGAAGATGAGCACTTGTTTATTAAGCAAGTGGCAACCATAGGTCTGAGTCCAGAAACCCATCATGAGCAATATGCAAGTTAGCACCGTTCACCATAAAATACAAGGTGGAAATGTAAAGAATCAGGCATCACATAAGGTCATCTCAGGCAGACCTGAAAACAAATATTAGTAAAACCAGGTGAGGTTAAACATGGTTCAAAAATAAAAAACTACAGAGGAAATGTGAATAAAAGAATTCCAAAGGAAAATCAGGAAGATAACCAAACTTTTGAAGATTTTGAAGTCAATGCTCAAGTCAGAAGGTCTTCTAAGAACAAGATGAAGCTCTTTTTCCAGAAGGTTGTTTTGGATTTGTTTAGTCAGATACCAAAGATGGAATGGTTTCTTTCAGAATGATAAGGGAATAAGTGAGGACCTATCTTGTCAATAGAAGTCACAGAAATTTGCTGAGGTCACCTAATGTCCTTTTGCTCTCTTCAGTACAGAAGAAGCCAGAAACTGAATACAATGGATGAGTTTGAGGGGGAATACTTGTGGACCACTGTTAGGGGGCCCAGGCACAAGTGAGTGAAGACCCAGGTATACATGTCATTTGCAGTAACTGGCTGTCTTTCTCTTTCATATGCCCATCAACCTGCTTTGGCTCTTCAAGGAATTTCTCTTGATATGTTTTCAACCAATTTGCATACTGAAGCATATAAAAAAGAGGAGAGGGTAGCATTACCTCCCATTGAAACTCGTCTAAACTTTTCCTGCACTCCGGAATTTTCGGATGGTGGACTCCCATGTCCTGCTGCAGCTGTGGCAATGGCGAATGCTGAAGTAGGAGACACAGAACATCGTACATTGTCCATTTCCCTGCAGCCAGGTCCCATCACACCAGATTGAACTGCATTATTTAAATCACAGAAAGAGAATTCTGAATTTTACCAGGATGTAAGCACATACACTTAATGCAAATTTTAAGCAATAAATAGTACAGTGTTCTAACACTTTATCCTTGACCCCAATGACATTAGTTAAGCCATTAGTGAGATGTGAATTCTTTTGTCAGTTGTGGAATATTGTAAATGTTTCCAAATGAAACTTTAACAGTGGACTGTGCAGAATATCAAGTGATTGTTACAACATATTCTTTCATAAGACTTTAATGTGTATCTATGGCATTGCTGAAATCAACTTTAGAGTTTCTACATTATGTTTAGAACACAATTGTTATATACAGCACATTGTAGCCTTGCATGTGCAATGTATAATATACTGGCCCTGAATTTTCTCAATGATAATTACACCATTACTGTACTGGTAAGTTACATTTTTTTTTCCAGTGGAGAGAGTTACTCTGATGTAATTGAGTGAAGAGGCTATTTTGGCTTTGGGCAATTTTGGAATTAAAAATTGTGAGATATGCATACTGAATGGTTAATCCAGTTTTACCCCATAACCCAAAGTCAAAATGAATTCCTGTGTAACTTGCTAGCGTATGTCCAACCCACCAGGAAATTTCACTGAACAATGCCCTAACTGTTTACAAACACTGAACAGAAATCCAAAATGCAGCAGAACCCTCTTCAACATTAAGGCAGTAAACATGAGGTTTTGGACACATCTGTCATTATCACCAACAATATAGATTTGCATAATGGTGCCCATTGGGTACCTAAGCATCACTTCATACACAGGAAACACAACTTTTTTTTTAGATGAAGATCTCGAAGTCCCCCTTCAAGATCTAGAAGACAGGAGAGTCTCCATCCTGGGTCACCTTTCACCAAGGTGGGCACCAATATTAGACAAACCAGTGATGTGGAGAATGAAAAGCTATTCTTCTCTATTTTTCCACTTGCCTGTTGTCTGTAAGAATGTAATAGGATGTGCATTCAGAAGGTAATGACGAGACTGGGAGTGACTAAGACTGAGAAGGTTTTGAAGTCAGTTGTGTTGGTTAATTTTAGAGATTTTTTAAAGAGCAATGTTAACATGGAGAATTAGAAGTTTGTATCTTTTGCCTAGATGCTTGCAATAAAGAGTTTTTGACTGAACCATCTCTAACATCAAGAATGGCATTTGTCCCACAACTTGGCATAGCTAGCAGAGTCCACTGAAGGCTTCAATTAAGAAATGGCTCAATGGACAGCGCTAGAGGTTGCCAACTGTTTATTTTATACCTCCCACAGGTCTGACTGACCACTGGGGCCACCTCAAAACCTCAACACTCGCTAACATTGCAATGGAGTTGGAGTGGCTGGAACTCTGAAAGTAAGAATATGAGAAGGTTAGGAGAAATAAAGTTGTTATCGTGTATGTTGTCACTGACAGCCAAAGGGGAGGCTGGAGGACAGGACTTAGTGGACACTTCTCTGTGATGAAAAGCTCTGTGAATTGTGTCTAGACATACTGATCAATAGACTGCTCACAGTGAAAGAACTAATGTATGAGTCACAAACAGCTAGTACATATGTACAGTAAATAATTGGGAAAACCTATGTTATTGTTTACTCTGAAGGTAAGTAAATACAAATGGAGGAGATTATGTTTCAGTTATGCAGGACATTGGTGAGACTATATCTGGAGTGCTGCGTATAGTATTGGATCTCCTTATTTAAGGAAGAATGTAAGTGCATTGGAAACAGTTCAGAGAGGGTTTACTAGACTGATATGTGGAGTGGGTGAGTTGGTTTATGAGAAAAGGGCAGACTCCATTGGAGTTTATAAAAGTAAGAAGCAACATGATTGAAATAAATGACATCTTTAATGGGTCTTGACAGAGTGGATATAGAAATGAATTCTCTGCTGTAAAAACCAGTGTTTAAAAATAGAGGGTCATTCATTTAAAACAAAGACAAGGAGTTTTTGTTTCTCACAGGGAATTGTCTTTGGAACTCTCTTCCACAAAAAGGTGGTGAAAGACTTTGAATAATTTCAAGGTAGAAATACATAGATTCTTGATAAACAAAGAGATTAAGATTATGAGGAGTAGGGTCCATTTATCAAGAAATGGGGTAGAGATAAACCAGAAAATTACAGACGAGTGAGTCTCACGTCAGTAGTGGGGAAACTATTGGAGAAAATCCTGAAGGAAAGAATTAATATCCACTTGGAGAAGTAAGGTTGGATCAAGGATAATCAGCATGGCTTTGTTGGATGGAGGTCATGACTAACAAATTTGACTGAAATTTTTGAGGCGTGTAGATGAGGGTGGTGCTGTTGGTGTACTTTAAATGGATTTCAGCAAAGCCTTTGACAAAGTCCCAAATGGAAGACTGATAAAAAAGGTAAAAGCACATGGGATTCAGGGTATCTTGGCAAGTTGGATCCAAAACTGTTTAGTGGTAAGATACAGGGAGTGGCTCAGAAGGCTGTTTGCAATAAAGGAGCCCAGTGTCCAGTGGCATTCCATCGGGATCAGTGTTTGGTTCCTTATTGTGTTTTATATAACAATGTAGATGAGAATGTTGGTAGGGAGGAGGGGTGTCTGATAATTAAGTTTGTGGATGACATGAAGATTGGGCACGTGGTCAATAGTAAGGAAGAAGGTCTTAGAATAAAGGGAGATAGAGACAGGTTGGTCAGATGGGCAGATAAGTGACAGATGGAATTTAACCCTGAAATGTATGAGGTGATATATTTTAGAAGAAGTTAAAAGACAAGTAAGTACTCAATGAATGGCAAGACATTAGGAAGCTCTGAGGAACAGAAGGATCTTGGATAAGAGATAACAAGGTGTAGAGCTGGATGAACACAGCAGGCCAAGCAGCATCAGAGGAGCTTGTCCACGGATCCCTGAAAACAAAGATTTGAAAAATTGGTTTAGAAAAGGAAACTGAAATTCAGAAGAAATTGACATTAATCTGAAATGTTGCAATTTACAGTGCTAAGAAAAAATAAAGCTGTGAAAAGGATACATTTCTACATATAAGCCTGAAGTCTTGGCAAGAATAATAGTTTGAATTCAGTTAGCCGGTTGAAATGCTGCATACTTAGTCTGTTTTGAGCAGAATAAATCTTCATGTTCATTCCCTTTTGTTTATAGGTAATTGCAAGTGTAACAAGATTTCCAGCAACTTTAAAAATGTGATTAGCCTCACAGATGCAAAGAGGAAATAACACCTTTTGCTGAGAGCTTTGTAACAATTCTCCACACAACTTTTATATTGCTGAAGGTATATTTTGATCATTGCTAAAATTCAAGTTTCTACATTAACAGATACGATTGGACATTATTAACCAATTGGGCTACAAACCAGTGACACATGCTTTGAATTTGTGCTTTTTAAACATGTTTCCAATGCTATACAAGTACCGATGCCACAGCAAGGAACCTAGCAAATTTGAAATCCTACTAAAGATATCAAATTTGGACTCAAGACTTTGCCTTCGGAGAACTCAGTCAGTTTCATGTTACCTTTTGAAAATAGTGATGTGCACGTTGTCTCTAAACTGGCTGCAACCATTTGTGTCTCTGACGTAAAAGCACTATTGAAAACCACCAAGCCTGGACATAATTGTTTCTGGAATTCATAAAATAACTTGCTACGAGCTCCTTAGTCAAATACTCAAAGAGAAATTTACTTCAAGTTTAAGGGAACAAACAGCATATTAACTCACAAAAAAATGCTAATAGATTGAGGCTCCCTGCATGATGGAGATCAAGATAATATTTATCATACTTAATTTGGCTAATCATGTTCCAAGCCTGGGTGGACATCACTATCACATTCAGCAAGGCTACAAAACAATCATAAAATCATCTGGGAGTATATACAGAACTACAAACATAATCCCACAGGAGTGCAGTAGATCCCTGGATCATCCTGTTGGTCAAGTTGCATCCACCTGAGGCAGATTTAAACTATCCTGAGGCCAACAGTCGGAAGAATGAAGAAATCAAGCTGTATTTCTGTATTTTTCCACTAAACTGCTTGTCTGTGAGAATGTGGTGGATTTGATTTCCAGAAGACAATGTCAAGACCAGCAACCACATAGGCCAGGTAAGACTCAAAATATTTTTAAGCCAGTTGTGTTTCTTCTCTTTAAGAATATTTATAAATAAATCTTTCTTGTTATACCTGATTGTAGACAGACAGAACAAGAGTCTACAAAAGATAGGGAGAGACTTTGGAAGACAGGATTAGGAGTATGAATCTTTCACCTGCAACCTTGTAACAAAGACATTTTGATTTGACCATCTCTGACTTTCCACCACTCTAAACTATGTACACATCTATCTGTGTCAGTTGTAAACACAGGAAGTTATTGATAAAAACAGGAATGCAGAGCTAAGAAAGCACTTCGCTGCGACTTGTTGTCAGAGTTTCAAGTCAAGTGGGCAGAAGTAAGATGAAGGCAAATACTTGTATGAGGTTGCTGGAAAGTGGGTAAAGATAACATTGTTGTTGTGCAGTTTCATGACTGGCAAGCTAATGGAGCACTAACCAAACATAGAAAATACCAGGTGAGTATTATGAATGTTTATTGTTAGAGACCAGGAAGAACCTTGTTGAACCTTACACTTTATCCAATTACAGCTAAGCAATGAAAAAAATATTCAAAGCAGGCAGAGAATGAAGAGCTGAGAAGAAGGTGAGGTGAGAGTGACTGCCCTTGCCATCAAGGTTGTATTTGACCAAGTGTGACATCAAGAAGCCCAAGTAAAACTACAGTCAACAGAAATTGGGGAAAATCTCTCCGCTGGTTGGAGTCATACCTGACACATAGGAAGATGGTCGTGGTTGTTGGAGTTCAGTCATCTCAGCTCCAGGACATCTCCGCAGAAGTTCCTCAGAGTAGTGTCCTAAGTCCAACTACCTTCAGCTGCTTCATAATTGACCTTCCCTCCATCGTAAAATCAGAAATGAGGATGTTGGCCATTGATTACATATGTTCAGC